CAGTTTGGAATCACTACAATTTTTAAAAATATATTTTACCAAAGATTATCGATTTCAATTACATGATGTTCTTTTGAACTTTCTCTTCATCAAAGAATCTTGAATATTAATCCCAGTTTCCAAAAAAAATATAACTGTTTTCAACATAAAAAACAAGATAATTATACCAAATGTTTCTTGAGTTCCAAATTAGCATATTTCTGTATTCTTGCATTGTATAGTAATATAATTTCTTTTTTTATTGCAAGAACATTCCGTTTGATTTTGTAAGATGCTTTTGCTTCTGTGTTTGGTTGCCGTTTGATGTCTAATGTAAAATCTGGATTTCGAAGAACCACTTTTTAAAGTTTTCAAAATCATTTTTTTTCTTTGTTTGTTTTATTTTTCCAGAGTGCTTTGAGATGTGCCCTGATTTTCAAAAGAAACCTACGCCTCTGACAAACCCCTCCATTACCATCCGACCATTGTGTTTTATCTTCCCTGCTCTCTTTGTACTGTATTTTGTTTTCTCTCTTGCATTTTCTCTCTGTTGTCTTTAAAGTGCTGTCTTGACCAGAAGGAAAGAAACAATATTGCTTTTAGAGGACAAACAAATAGAGGTTCTCCATTATCTTTCCGTTCATCCCGTATAGTTGTGCGCGTTCGCCTGTGTGTGTGCGCCCTGTGCTTGTCAAGTGGGACAGGGAAGCATGCACAAGTGTCCCATGAGAGCTCTAGCCCGTTCTATAACATGACAGGCCCTCAGAGGAGTACGCCAAGCTGTCACACTGAGCTCTCCCCAACGCTAATGAGTCAGAGTTAATTAAAAAAAAACCAGGCAGGACTGCGGGAGACACACACATCGACGCACACACATACATACGCAAGCGTACATGCGCTAACCCAACCTGCCCAGGGTTAAACACACAGAGTGGACAGCGGGGAAGAATATTGCTGATTCATGCTTTAGCCCGTGTGTGTGTGTGTGAACGTCAGCGCGTGTGTCCCTTGTGTGTGTTTAGCGTCCCTGCGGCACTGGGGCTTTTTATGAGGCAGGGAGAAAGTTACACTCCTGATCCTCTCAGTCTTTTTACTTGGTTCCCTTCGCTCCTTTCTGAGGTCACTCTTCTTTTTTTTAGTATCCACCAAAATAGCTACTGAAGTAGTTAGCTACTAGATTGAGCCGATGGCCTTGTGGGCAGCGCTTCAACCGAGTTCGAGTCTCGGATCCTGTATACCTGGTATTAAGAATCGCTTTGGTTGACTGGATCATAAGCAGCCCATTCTCACTCCCAAGGCGTCACCTAACTGACGCCTTGGGAAGCATTTGGACATGCTTCAATATCTGACGCTTTAGGCGCCCTTTAGCGTCAGTTAGATGACGCCCTAGGATCGCGTGTACCCTACCCCCACCCCACACCTAAACTTAACCGCGTCCTCTAACTGACGCTTTCCTTTAGCGTCAGTTAGATGACGCAGTAGGATCGCGTCATGTAAGTGACGCTAAAGGGCGCCTAAAACGTCAAATATTGAAGCATGGTCAAAGGTGACGCCTTGGGGTGAGAATGCGTTGTCATAAGTGGATGACGCTAAATGCAGGTGTAAACGGGGTCTAAAACACTTTCAACCACTTCCAGAGGTAGTCGAAAACGCATTTGCCCAAATTGCTTTGGTAGTGTAGACAGACGCTCATGTCACTAAAAAACGCTGCCTACAGACCTTATTCAGAGCAGTGCCATGACAGGTATGAAAGTGAGGCTGTGAGGGATAGACTTACCGTGTTTCCAATGGAATCCGCTGTAAAAAGCTGAATAAAGCTCCTAGATTACTTACAATTTTCCACAGCTTATATTGTCGGGAGTTTTTTTTGTCAACTAAAATTTCTTGGAAAGATATTTTTCCAGTGTTTCATGAGCAGAACAAAACGAAAACACATTAAATAACAGTACAGCCCATTGAAGAGATGCAAGTGTATCCCTCACAGCCTCGCTTTCATTCTCATTAAAAATCAAAGATGGCGCTGCCGTGAATAAGGCGTACTGTCTGACCTAATGCATGAAATAAGATGAAAAACGTAACAAGCACAATGTTCTCTCACATTCCTGATTTCTACCACTCGCGAGCTCTATCCAAGCAGAAACTAAAGCTGCTGCTCTCTGTTTTTTCCATCGTCTCTGGATGCGTTCATATGTAAGTTTTGCGTGAGCTTATTTTGTGCATTAGATCAAAAGATCTAAAAAAAAAAAATCATTTACCCACCCATATAACCTCCCCTCAAATAATTTAGGATAGAATTGGTTGAAAGTGGACATATCACGTATTAAAACACCAGGTGTGAACAAGAACGCGTCTCCCTCGACTACTTGTGATCCAATCGGCCAAAACGCATCTTAAAGGGATAGTTCACTTTGAAATTATGTTTCCACAGTATTTTCAATTTTGAGATTTTTAGGTCAAACCGTTCTCGTCTTTCAGTCATATAATGGAGGTTTATGGGGGCCACCCTGGGTTCACCTCATAGAGCATGCACAGAGAAGTCCAAATTAAACATGATTTAATGACTCTAAGACACGAAACGAGTGGTTTGTGTGAGAAAATGAACAGTATTAATATCGTTTTTACCTCTTGTAACCACAGCCACGTCCAAGTGATGTGAGGGCGAGGGCGCTTCTATTTACGCAAGCACCGGAAAGCCCCGGAAATGATCTCTCATGCGTGTACGTCACTCATTGTTTACACAGAGATTTCAGAAGTGTTATCCTTCACTGTGAAGATCTAAACATATTTAGATATACAGGAAATTAAACGTTGATTTTTTTCGCAACCGCGCAAGAGATCACTTCCAGGGCTTTCCGGCGCGCTTGCACAGACAGAAGCGTCCGTGCCTTCAGATCACATGGACGAGGCTGTGGTTACAAGAGGTAAAAACGATATAAATACGGTCCGTTTTCTCACACAAACTGCTCGTTTCGTGTCTTAGGCCATCAATGTGTACTTACATTTACGAGTCATTAAATCCTGCATGCTCTTTGAGGTGAACCCAGGGTGGACCCCATAAATCTCCATTATATGACTGACAGACAAGAATGGTTTGACTGAAAAATGTCAAAATTGAAAATACTGTGGAAACAAAGACACCTACATCTTGGATGCCCTTGAGGTAAGCTAAAACATATCAAAAATTAATTTGAAAGTGAACTATCCCTTTAATAACAGGTGTAAACAGGGCCTGAGATAATCCTGTAGAAGTATTTTTCATTGTTAGTTCATGTTAACGCTTATATTTAACTAAAGGTAACAAATAAAACTTTATTGTAAAATAGCAAAATTTTACGTTTGTTTTGTTTTACAACTGCAGATGCAGTGGTTAACATGGTCAATTTTTGTAAGGATTAGTTTTCTTTCATCACCAAAATGGTTTTATGTTCCTTTTTGGGGGGTGTTAAAAAGAAAAGATTAGCATCTTGCTGCAACAAGGGTTCGTTTGAAAATAAATGTATCTTTTAATTTTCCATTTTGGTTATCAATCAGTCTTTCCATCTTATCGTCGCTCGTGAACACTATTAGCATGCAGGCGGAAATGTCAGCGGCAGATTATCATGTTTACTCAGCATATTAATATATTAGCATTTTTTTAATATTAATGCAAGATTAGCATAAACATTAGCATCCATTAACATTCTTTTGCATATTCAAATTTGCTTACTTCATGTACAAATGCGACGCTAATCGTTTCAGCTTTTGTTCAGTGGTTATTCCACTCAATTCCTATCCCAGTGGGATTTTTTTGATTAAGTTGACGCTGAAAAGATTCACGGTTGTTTTTAGCAAACTACTTTAGCGGGGTGAGATTAGCATCATGTGAGGGTGAGTGCTTGTTCGAAGAGCTGGATGGTAACACAAACTCACATTGATGTACGTTAGGGCAGATGTTCCGTGGAGGGACAGGAAGATTGTCGTCTTGTCACACTGAACGTAAAGAGTGAGGCGTGAGTTGCAGCAGGCCATGAAAGCTGAGAAAAAGATCATATCGCATCAGACGTGCTTGGATAAACTTTCTCGCAATCTCATTCTTTCTTGTTCTATTTCCTCCATAACTTTTTGTTGTTGCTGTTGTCATTGTTTGGCTTATCCTTTCATCATGCGGAAAATTTTGCTAATTCACTTCTTTTCATTGTAAGTTCATAGTTGCTATTTGTTAATTGTTAGTTCATAGTTGCTATTTGCAAATCTTGGACCAGTGCTGCATTGTCTCTTAAATCTCACATTTGTTGATGTGTTTTTGTACAATTATTACAATTAACACGTAAAAAAAAAAAAAAAAAAAAAAAAAATGGCGGTTGTGGCCAGTAAAAATGTTATTGCCAGTAAAAAAATAAATAAATAAATTATATACATATATAAAAATAAATACACATACAATTTTTTTTGTGTGTATATATATATATATATATATAATGCTGTGCTTTCAAAACCAAGCAGGTTTTTGTACATAAAAATGTTCAAGCCTGAGTGTACTCAAAGCAGGTAAAATTCTCAAAAGTGCTAGTATGAATGCTATTTTTTACAAAAACTAATGATCAGCTATTTTTATTGGCCAAAAAATCCCAAACAGTGCAGCCTTATTGTCTGTCAAATTAATGAGCAAGCATGCACATTCATACACTGTTAAATGTTGATACCAGCAAGGCCTTGTAACCAGAAAAATAAAAGAAACTGCATATTTTCTTCCACATACACACACACACGCACACTTGTATTTGCGCACACTCTCCGTCTTTCTCTGGGGAGCATAAGTGTGTATGGCCCTGGGCATGTGCTCAGAATGTCTTCATCTCTCTTCTGCCTTTTATGTCTCTGTGTCTGCTACACAAATGTAATAATGTTGTTTTTCTTTCCTGGTTTGGCAAAAACAATATGAAGGTAGAGAGCTCAGCTCCACTCAAATGGACACCTGCTTGTGTCTCAACCTCTCTGACCTGTCTTTAATTTATCTCTGTCTCTGTTATTTCCTCTCTCAGGCTGTGCCTTCCTCACATACTGTGCAAGAGAATCGGCGCTAAAAGCTCAGACCGCGCTTCACGAGCAGAAGACGCTACCTGGGGTAGGTCATCACGGTCAAACACAAACATAAACATGCAAAAAAAAAAAAAAACACAGGCACACAACAACAAATGGGTAGTTGGCATAAAATACTTTTGGGAAGTTTTCCATGCGACATGCCATTATTTTGGTGTTATTTTAATAGCTTTTACTAATTCAGGATGCATTATATTGATCCAAAGTACAGTAAATATGTTTAAAATGTTAGAAAAGATGCTGTTTTTAACATTGATAACAATAAGAAATCAGCATATTAGAATCTCACTGAAGAGTAACGATGTTTAAAATTCAGCTTTGTCGTTACCGGAATAAATCACATGTATTTTATACATTCATTTTAAAGTCTATTAAAACTGTTATTTTATGAAATATATTAGTGTTTTACTGTACTTTAGTGCAGTGCTGTAGGTCAACTACCCAAATGTATACGTATGTAATACATTTTTACATTTAAACGCATTGTATGCAGGTTTGGCTATAGAAGATTTATTTCTGTGTATTTTTTGTCACATATCACAAAAAGAAAGCCCTCAAAAAGCGCTAACTCTTCTTTTTTGGCTTGCATTTTCAATCCCGTTCCCTCGCTTCTCATACTCTTCCTTCCTTTTCCTCTCCATCTCTCTCTCGTTCTTTCTGGAAGAGCCTTGTACCCAAGGGCAAGAACTACACAGCACCACATTAGAGCTGGCCTATTTATAGTGTCTTTTAGTATTTCTGAGCATGTGTGTGTATGTTTGTGTGCGATCGCACCGTATGAATGTCTGCAGGCACGTGTGTGTGTGTATGTGAACGTATTACTATGTCACTCCTTTTTAGGTTCAGTAGAAACTTGCTGTCCCGCTCTAACATCGTTTGGTTGCAGTGTGTGTGTGTGTGTGTGTTTTGAAGTTTCTCCGTAAGCTCTTGCTGAGCTCGGTTTGGTGTGTTCTGTTTTAATGACGCCTCCAGGGAGAATGACAGTTGCCGTGGCGAACGGAATGCCTTTGATGCGAGTGATTATGACATCATAGATGTTGAATGCAAGGGGAGTCACTTTGCTGTAGTTCCACTTCCTTTCTCTTAGTGCAAAGAATATTCACTCTGTAAAAGCGCGCACACAGCCATACACGTTTCGTTCATCCGCCCCCATCCCGCCATGAGCGTGTAAGTCATCATGTTAGATGTTGACTGTAATAAGAAAAACCCTTGATCGTCTTATTACGAGCACATCTATTTGCACGAAATGCAAACGCAGCAGCAGCAAATGAATTCAATCGAAGGCTCTGCCTATCACAAATGTTTCATAAGAATACTAATTACCCAGAGGAACATTTTATCGCTTGGTTTGCTCATTCAGAGCTCAGGAGACTTAATAGAGTTCTTGATTGTCTTTGTCTCGGATGTTTCTCCTATATTTCTTTAATAGATGTAAAAAGCTGTAAGTGAGACGTATAGTATGAGTAAAGCTGTGAAATGAATGTGGATATTACAGCTGAGATCATTTGAGTTGAATTTATTGAGAATTGATTGAGGTCTGGTAACGCTTTATAATAATTATACAGTAATAAAGTATTTACAAATCATGTGCAAACTATTAGTTTATAGTTAATTAATACATTAATTGTCATTGTCACTGTAATTAAGTAATTATTATTGTTTAATTATCTCACATATAAAAAGTTAGATAAGTTCTCACTTCAGATTAGATCATGAAATATCGGAAAATATCATTAAGTGCATTAAACCGACCTTTATTAGACATTAATTACATTAGTATTAAGAGTTCCTTAAAATGTGTACAAATACAAAAAATAAAAATAATAATAACCGTTCTTTCAATAGGAAATAGAAAATGCAAATACTCATCATGTCACGTTGTTAAAATAAATCAGTTAGGATTAGAGGTAGGTTTGTGAGATTAAATATGAAGAGTTCAGATGCAAAAGCCTCTAAATGCCATTTGAAATTTTCTTCTTTAATGATGATTTTTTTTTATCAAACTTGTATATTTAAGTTCAGTAATTTCACTTAAATAACAATTAATAGGTAATTATCATTGCCATTTAAGTGAAATTACTGAACGTAAATATACAAGTTTGATAAAAATCATCATTAAAGAAGAAAATTTCAAATGGCATTTAGAGGCTTTTGCATCTGAACTCTTCATATATAGTTTGTTTATTCTTGTAGAATAAGCCATTGCGAACACTTCGAAATTGAGTAACACATTTTTATTGTGAATAATAAATATTTAAGTAAACAAAGAAAGAGAGACAGAGAGAGAGAAAGAAGAATAAATAAGTCTGAAGGGATGAAAAAGTCATTGGAATCTTTTATGTGCTTTATCTGCAGGAGAATCTTGAGTCATCCTCCATCTCTTTTCCTTTCTTTCTCTTTGTGCCCCTTCTCGGCCTTTATGCAGTAATCTCTCTCATTTTTCCACTTCACTTGACAGCTTGATGGTTTTTAGGAAAGTGGTTTTTATGTTAGAAAGTTCTGTCAAGTGCAAGAAGGCCTCCCAAGTTCAAGTCTGGAAGAGATAGAAAGAGCCAAAAAGAGTGGGCTGTTCTTGGACCTTCAGTCGCTCCAAAATGAATGATGAAAAACACATTTGCGCCTGTTAGCTTAAAGCCTGACTCTCTGTGACAGTTTCTTTTGTTTCGTACGGGATCCACTCTGGCTAAAATTGCACAAGCATTTATATTGTGCTTATCGAGCATTTCTGCCATATTTGACATCACAATATTGCAGCTATAAAGAAATGCAGGACAGAATATAGTGTTTATAGGTGTAATTTGGTTTTAGGTGTATTACCTACTGGTATGATACAGAAAATCAGCCTTTTTCTTCCTTATATTTTTTGGGGGGGTTATTACATATAGTTATATTATCATTTGTCATATTTTCAGGGCCATATTCTACACTTTTACATTTTGCACAAAGTTATTTAACGGTCTTAATTTAGTTTTATAAAACCAATTGTGCACCCTTTCTGACCTTTACAAATATACCAGCTGTTTCGGTACTGTATCTTTAAGACTTTTATTTGTAAATTACTCAGGGTTGATTCATGATTTTGCTGATAACTAAATAGCCATTTATAAGTAAACACTGGTGATCATATATTAATGTTCTTTGATTTATTGAATAACGTTTTGCACATAACAGAACTGAAGCTTAAAGTGCAACTTCAGATTTTTAACCCTCTTTGTATTGTTACAGTGTTGTTAGTATATGTAAATGAACCGTGTTTACTCGTTCTTCATGCTACCTGGACAGAGAAATTCACATTTATTTGTCAGCAAAAGTCCTTTTTACAGCTCCAGGGCTTTCGTGAAAACTACAGATTATACTTCCGCATTTTTGTATCCCCGCCCAAAGACTGTCGGATTGACAGAGGGTTATTAACAGAATAATAATTGGAAGAGTAGATATTGCTGAAAATTGCATCGTACTTTGTCTACTCTGAACAGAATTATGGGAAAAATAGAACACTATGACTATACAGCCAGAGACATTTTATATAGAGACATGCCACTTCCTCGATCCTCAATACAACTATATTGGGAAAACCCGTAACACCAAAGATGGCGGTTCTATGCACATGTCCCGCCCCTACCGCTGGAAAGCCAATCGTCTGCTTTTTACAGTCAAGCTGGGAAACCTTGAACCACTGACGCATGCGCATAGTTGAGGTTTGCGACGGGAAAATACGTTACTGTTTGAAAAGACGGCATATTTGATATCCAGTCTATGTGTGCATTGTGTAAATATCAGACACCCCATGTCTCCCGGAAGTTCTGGGAGTCTCCCGCAGATTGATACAGTAGCGGCTCATTGATGCCTTGTCTTGCTAGTCCGAAATAGCTGCCCGGAGGTGATGCCAAGATGGCGGCCGAGTGGCATGACTTGCCTAAAAGGACTTTGCTACAGCTTTCTTACCTGGACGTGATGGCATTTTGTTATTGGGTTCTTTCAGTTTTCCCTCTCTCTTTTCCCCTAAAACACTGCGTGCGTAGTCATCCGGTTTGAAATATTGACTACAAACATGGTCAACATTTCAAATTGGATGATTTCCATTTTCAAATATATTTTCCGCCTCTGCGTTCTCACTGACTGCTTGAACTTGCTGGAAACCAAAAATAACTCACTCCCACTAAACGTTATTGCACCCAGGAACAATAAAAGTCGACACCATTGTAACTAAAAGTTTGCTAAGAAGTATTTTCTACTAAAAGAAGGTGGTATTATTGGTGTATGATGGTATTGAGCTTAATTTATTTCAAAATATTCAATTGATATAATTGATTCCTGTGATGGCAAAAATTTTGTACAAAAATTGCCTTTCATACATATAGATTATAAAAGGGGGAGATTTAATTTCGTTTGAGGCGATGGCAGTGATAAGTCAGGCCATGCTCTAATGCACACTGTATTTATTAAAATCTCTTCCGGCCTCTCTCTCTCTTACTACAGTATGATGCCTCAGAAGCACTCTATTGATTCTGGCACTAGGCCTCATCAGCAGGAGGGTGTGTGTACACACCCACGGCCGCTCTCTCGCTCACGTTTAAATACACACACACACACACGCACGAGTACAAACGGAGCAGCTATTACTCACTGGAACGCACACAAATGCAAAATGTTCACAAATACGCATTCATGTGGATGAATATTCATGTAAAAAATACTTTGCAGGAGACTCAAGCGGCAATGCTCGTTGTGGCAGGGCTTCACAGATACGCCAGTATACTACTAGTATACTGTGCATGGCATGTGCTATAATTTTAAAAGGACATTTTCAAACAGCTACATCGTTGTCAAATTTACATCCATGTTTAATTCAGCAAGCACCATCCAGTTCATATCTTATAAATCAGCTATTTTGCATTTTTAATCCCATTTTGTCCATCAAAAAATGAAGTCAAAAGAGATCAAACAACAAAACGAAAGTACGCGTCAGCCGCTCATGGACAATTGTAGCATATAAACATAAAAAAAACACAACAAGAATGTCTT